CAGGGTTCGGTTCCCAGCACCCACATAGCAGCTAACAACCACCTGCAACTCCAGTTCCAGGGAATCTGACACCCTCTTCTGGTCGCTTCAGGCACTGTACATACCTTGTGGGTGTGCTTACATACATGTAGGCAATACACTCATACACATAAAAAAATAAAAATAATTAACCCCACCCCCAAAAATGGAAAACAGGCAAGGCATGGTGGTGCATACCTTTAATCCCAGGACTGTAGAGGCTGAGGCAGGTGGAGCTCTGTGAGATCAGCCTAGACTACATAGTTCTAGGCCAGCTGGGGCTACAGGGAAACCCTGTCCACCAAACCAAAAAAATAAAATAAAAAAATAAAATAAAAACAGCTGGCTGTGGTGGTGCATGCCTTTGATCTTAGTTCTAGGCCAGCTGGGGCTACAGGGAAACCCTGTCCACCAAACCAAAAAATAAAATTAAAAAATAAAAACAGCTGGCTGTGGTGGTGCATGCCTTTGATCTCAGCACTTGGGAGGCAGAGGCAGGTGGATCTCTCTGAGTTCAAGGCCAGCCTGGTCTACATAGTGGGTTCCAGGCCACAGGGAGACCCTGTCTCAAGAAGATAAAAAATAAAAATAAAGAATAAATGAAAGAAAATGGAAACAATGGCGTTAGTGTGGCTTCTAAACACAGTCTATTAGGTAGCAAAGAATCACAGGATTTCACAGGTCTCTGCTGCTGGAAACAGTGAGGAGTCTGCGGGTGGAAGATGGCCCAAGGCCTTGTTCTCTGGAGGCTGCGTTACCAAACCCTAGTGCCGTATGTCTTACTCCCTGTTTATGCAGCAGCTGTCAGGAGCTTGCCCTGTATCTTTCTGTCCAAACCTTCCTGTGTGTTTTAGCGTAACCCATTCCATACGTAACAGGGCTCATGGGTGACCTAGTCTCTCTGTGTGTTCAGGAACTGAGTTCAAACACAAAGAGTGAAAAATCTTGGTTCACTTGTGAGAAGTTGTCAGATGTGGTCAGTTCACCTCTGGTAGATTCTTCACCAGCTCCTGTTCAGCTCACCCCTTCCTGGGCCTGTCCATGGTCAATCAGTGGGCAGTGCCCCTGTCCCTTCTTCCCCTTCCTCTGTTCCTTCACCTCTTAGTTCCGAGGCAGGACTGTCTGCTAGTCTGTGGCCAGTGGAGGTTCTCTGGTTTCTCAGTTCACAGTCCTGATTCTGCCACATGAAAGCATGGGGGTAGCTGCCAAAGCCACGGGCCCCTCAGAGGGCAGGATAGAAGTCAGAGCTCTAAGAAAGGGAGGGGTCGGGGGACTGCAGTGCTGAGTTTACTCTGTTCCTTCAGGATCCTTATTCCCCAAGGCTGATCTTTACGCCTTGGCTGTTTTCTGGGGGAAAATATGTCTTTCTTCTCAGACATCTCTGTATCCTTTTCTTTTAAAATAGTCTATTTATTATTTTTATTTTATGTGTATGCATGTATCGCTTGCATGTAGGTAAGTGCACCTGTGTCATGCAATGCCCTCGGAAGACAGAAGAGGCTGTCGGATCCCCTGGAACTGGAGTTATGGACAGTTGTTAGCTGTCATGTGGGTGTTGGGATTCGAACCCGGGTCTTCTGCAAGAACAGTCAGTGACCTTAACCTCTGAGCCACTTCTCCAGCCCCTGTATCCTTTTCTTATTCCCACCTGTATAGCTTTCTTTGAAGTGAGTGCTAGCAGTTTTTTTTTTGTGGGGGGGATAATGCATCACAACTCATCCTCCCTTCCTTCCCCTTCCTCTTCTTTCTCTCTTCCTCCATCCTTTCCTCCCCCTCCCCTGTCCCCTTCCTCCCTCTCACCCCCAACCCCTTCCTTTTTCCATCCTTCTTCCTTCCTCTTCTCCCTCCTTTTCTTCCCCTCCCCTCTCTTCCTCTTCCTTCTCTGACTATCACCCTCTCTTCCTTTCTCTCTCTTTCCAGCAGGACTTGGGAGCGCCCACTGCGTCCACTCTCCAGAGAAGTCATTGTGCGCTGGTTTAAGGAGGAGCAGCTACCTCGCCGAGCTGGCTTTGAGAGGAACACCAAATCCATCGCCCCCTGGTTCCATGGTAGGACACTTTCTGGGCCCCAGGGCAGATTATGTCTACATATCCACCCCCCTTTCAAATGGAGGAGTTCTTGGAGGACAGCCACAATTAAGAGTGTAGAGGACTTGGGACTCTGTGCTGCTTTCATTCTGTCCCTAACACTTCTGACAGGAGCCCAAGAGCCCAGAGGTGCACAAAATGTGGGACATGCATTCCCTCTCTTCTGTGAAGACATAAACATGAAGCCTGCCCACTGCTGTTACCATGTAGCCTCCTCAGTCCTCAAGTCTCCCATAAGGCACCACCCCTGTACCCATAAGACAGAGAACTCATGGGCCCCAGGGTTCTGTTGGGGAGGACCCACATTTTGGTGACTGAGTCTGTAGCCTTGTTCCTGGCCACGTTCTTAGCACAGCAAGCATGCTGTGGGCTCTGAGTAAATCCTTAATGATGTCAGTCAGCTGTCTGACACCTGAATGAAGAGTTCAGAACCATCTAAATACAAAGCATTAGATTGTAAATCATCCAATCCCTTCATTACAAAGAATTGAGGTTCAAAGAGGGGAGGAAGCTTTCAAAAGGTACTAAGAGATTTGGAAAGTCAGCTTCAAGAATGTTTCTCAAAGGCCACGATCCAGTCCAAAGAGCTGAATATGCCGTGGTTTCAGGAGGGAAATGGGACTGTGTGTTCAGCAGAGACTTCTATAGAGAAAGCAGAGTAGCTACTAGTTATGGATTCCTTCCCTATCAGTTAGCTATTGCTTCATAATAAATCACCCCAAGCATAGTACCTTCAAACAAGTGGATGTTTATTATTTCCTCTCGTGTTTTTGAGTCAGCTGGGCAGTTCTAGCCCGGCTCAGGTGATCTTGGTTGAGCTTGTTGTTCCTCTGCGCAGCTGTCAGGTCAGCTGAGACCTGACTGGCCCAGGATAGTCTCAGCTGAGCTGTCTCCTCTGCGCTGCATGTGAACTCTTCTCTTCTAGCAGCCTGGCCCAGACCGTCAAGTTTCTGTACCCAGCTTTGCTCCCTGAGCCTTCCTTACCTAAGCAGCACTTAGCTCAGCTTGGCTTGGGATTCCTTTGGTCATAACTGACCTCTATGTCACAGTTATCACCTACCTGACCCTTACCTGCCTGTGTTTCCAGACTTTCAGTCTCCTAGGAGCTTGACCAGCCTCTGCCTTGGCCTGTATTTTCTGTGTGTTTGTCCTAGCAATGTGAGCTGTCCACCCGCGCCTAGGCCATCTTTTGTGTATTCTCAGTCGTCTCCAGATGGAGAGATGAACCTGGTGCCATGGTTGGTGTAGCGCTTTAGTGTCTTGAGGGTTGATTTGCAGCTGACACCTTGGCCTGTATTTTCTGTGCGTTTGTCCTAGCAATGTGAGCTGTCCACCCGCGCCTAGGCCATCTTTTGTGTATTCTCAGTCGTCTCCAGATGGAGAGATGAACCTGGTGCCATGGTTGGTGTAGCGCTTTAGTGTCTTGAGGGTTGATTTGCAGCTGGCAGAGGGAAGCCCTCACAGTCAAGTACTGAACATGGGTCTGGCTCCAGGAAATGTATATGTAGGACTTAGCAAGAAATTATGCTGACTGAGCAAAACCATCAGTACCTTTGCCTACTGGAACCCAAAGAGCTTATGAGCTCTGAATTGCAGGCCACAGTCACAGTCTGCAGATGGGACAGCTGAGGTGTAGCACTGACAGGATGACCAAAGGTCACAAAGGTGATGGCACTACCATCTAAACACTGGGAATATTTTCTCTACAGTTTATCCTCTACAAAGCATTCTGGGAATTTCTTAAATGGTTATCCTCCACATCCATTTACATGTACAACAAACTCTATGCTCAGTTCTGAGGTTCACAAGGCCCAGCTAGCAGGTCCCACCTCCCAGTCCAACCTTCTGTCAAGATTCCATCGATGTTCACCCGGCCCAGAGCTCTGGCCTTTCTTCTGATCATCAGATGAGCCATCTTCTTCTCCACATCAGGCCTGAATTCCTTTCCTAAGGTGGGTTTCCTCACATTCTCTCAATATGTCTTCTGTTGTTCCTGAAGAGCACTCATACCATTGGTATTAATCTGTTCTCTTATATAATTGTAAACATGGAAAGCCAAGGTCATTGCCTATTTTCCCCAGTGTCTGCCACAGTAGGCATCTACGGGAGGAATGATCAAAGATGGGCATGAACTGCTAGAGTTGGGGTTAGTGCCAGGATTTCCAGTCCCCAAGAACAGCCCTTGCTGTTCTCCATTGGGGTCCTGGTAGATGTGAGTTCCCGCAGGGTGCAGAAATGATCTGAAAACCCAGAGCCAAAGGAGAGAGGGTTGATTTGCCTTTCTAATTAGTCATGTGCTCAACAAGGCAGACCCACATCTTAGGCGACTCTGTGTTCACCTGTCACCTCTGTTGTCCACCTGCCTGGAGGTCAGGTGCAGAAACACAGCCACGACAAGGTTGCCATCGCCCACTGCTGTCATGTTGTTGACCTCAGGAAGCACACAATGCCACCCCCACTGTGTAGGTAGGCTTTGTTGCTCCTCAGTTCACAGGCACCCAAAGGCTCAGTGGCTGCCACCAACCAATGATTATTTTATAGTCTTGTCTTATGATTGTGAGAGTTGTAGACCTTACTCTAGTCCTCAGAAGTTTTGTTTTTGTAGGAAAGTTGGATGGTCTTGTGGTAGAGGGAAAAGAAAGAATTAGTGCATCACATAGTGGTTCCAAAGTTTCTGCATGGATTGGACACCTGCCGTGCTTGCACATGTGTCATTAGCCAGAGGCACCCCTTTGGGGCATCTTCCTTCTCTCAGGCTTCCACATGTCCCACAGATGTATGAGGTGGTTCTTAGGGCCCAAAGACAGCACAGTCAACTCTCTTGATAACTGAGTCACCTGTCAGTGGAGCTGGACGTGGGGAGCTCCCTGCCTTCTTTAACACTGTGTATTTTGAAGCCCTTGATAGATCTTCCATCTGAGGCATTTGAGGCATCACTCTCCTGTTCATTTGTACATTATCACCATCATGGAAGTAGCTAAGACATCTCAGGCACCTGCTCAAATGTCCCACGGACATGGGAATTGGTGACTGTGTTGGTTACTCAGGAGTGCTCCTGGCAGCTGATGGAGAAGGTGTAATGGAGATGCTCAAATTTATCTTTAGTTTTCTTTTCTATCTTAATGGAGGAAAAGGCAGCTTTTATGGTGTCATAGGACAAACAGCACCTAGATTTAAGTCTTAGAATTTATGTAACTGACTCCATGTTCTCCTGACAGCTTCAACCATAAAGGATGTGGGGAAGTTGTTAATACACAGAACAGAACTATTTAGTGACCATGTTTTCACTGATCTGTGACAGAATGGAAGGAAAGGCTCACAATGTGGAGGACAGCCAACTGCTTTGCTCAGAAAGAACTGTGTTTGATTCCAGCTTTAGTGTTAAAATAACCTATCTTTTGTGAATTGATAGTGACAGGTAACAGTGATTGTTTTTATATGTTGTAAGATTTGGGAAAAACAAAATATCAGCAGCCCTATGTTGCCTCCTGAGGCCAAACTAAACTTGGGGACAACTGGTATTCTCCAAATTTCTTCCTAAAATAAAAATTTCCTGATTGGTAGGTGGGACTCTGGTATGAATCCCTATAGGGACAGAAGCTCGCCAGTACCAGGGAGCCTGCACCGGTCTAACTGTTAGCCCTCTTGGCACAGAGCTCTGCTTATGCCTGGGTGTGACTGGGTGCCTTGGCTGGGGATGCCCTTCCTCTGTGTAGCTTTCATCTTCTGGGAGCACTGGACTAGCTCAGGCATGCTCCTGTCATGGTGACGGAATAGGTGGCGGAGAGTGATGGGCAGCATCTAAGCCTCTGGAAATCTAGGCCTAAAACCTGCTCCCCATCATGTTGTTGGCCATGATTTGTCACAGACTTGAGGAGTAGAAAAATATACTCTTTCTTTTTCTTGTAGGAAATTTCGAAGCCATATATCAAAGGGGATGGAGACAGTGGGAAACAAGAATTTTCGTCAATGATTCAGTCTCTCACAGTTGAGGTGTAATTCCTTTCTTTTCCTGGTCAATTCAGCTGAGCTTTGATGTAGGTTAAAGATGACCGCTGTGATTCCTATTTCTTCCTGTTTTCTCAGACATTTGGGTATACTGCGGTGGGTAAGAGCTACACACCAGTGTGTACCAAGAGATCCGAAGATATGGGATCCATTCTAGAACCTAGTGTTTCTGTGACCTTGGGTGTGTCCTTAATTCCCTGTCTGTGAATCTGGCATTATAACATTCACACCACAGGATATTTATGAAAATCAAACCAATGAAGATGGCTTGTCCCCCCAAAGGAGCCACATGTCAGTGCAGGTACTTGTCTCCTTGAGTGCGGAATCAACTACCAGAGACGTTGCCTCTTCCAGGAAATGCAATGTGGAAAAATGCACTCAGAGCACAGTGGAATGGAGAGCCTGTCAGGTAGGATGGAGGCTGGCTTCCCTCTAGTCAGGTAGGGTGGAGGCTGGCTTCCCTCTAGTCAGGTAGGGTGGAGGCTGGCTTCCCTCTAGTCAGGTAGGGTGGAGGCTGGCTTCCCTCTAGTCAGGTAGGGTGGAGGCTGGCTTCCCTCTAGGACCACAGGGCTCCCAATAAAGGCTCTTTGTCAAAAAGGTAGCATAGAAGTGACTCATTATTTCTGCCTTACTTATTGGCCAGTCCCAGGAATTATGAGGGACTTCCAGTTAAAATACCAGCACATAAGCTTGGCTTTGGGAAAAAGCTGTTTTTGGATTTTGGCATGTATCTGATCTTATGGAGTGTTCTCTATCTGAACATTAGCTCATTCAGGATCCATTTCTCTTCTTCAGCTTTACTTCTAGAAAAGACTTGCAATACGGGCCATGGTTCATGATCGTGATAATGGCCCATGGTGATCTTGCTGCTGCCCTTGGGGCTTGGCATAGAATGGGGAGATGTGGTAGATGATGGACTTGGCATCATTAAATGATTTCTGTTGAATTTCACT